CCCCTCCGAGGGCGGCCGAGGAAGCTCCGGGAGGAGGAGGAGAAAAAGAAGAAGGTGGGAGGCGGCGGCCGCCGGAGGACCCGCTCCGCGCCTCGGCCTCTCCGCCCCCTCCCCGGTCTTTCTCTCGCCCCCTCCTCTCGTATTCCGGGCTGGCGCCGCGGCTTTGTGCGAGGAGATGGTGTAGCCCTCTGGCCGCCGAAGGAGGAGCCGGACACTTGTCTCCAGTCTCGGAGCTGCGTCCCCGCCCCTGGAGGAGAGACCCCCCCTTGGGCTCGGCGCCTCCCGAGTCTCCCGGCTTCTGGGGAAGCCTCTGCGCCGCCGGCACCATGAGGTGAGGGGCGCGAGGGGCGGGGGTCAGGCGGGCCATTGTGCCGCGGGAGCTGCGACCCTGCTTTCCTGGGACCCGCCTTCCCTCTCCCTGCCCGGCGCGGCTCCCCCGGTCTCCAGTCCTTTCCTTTCCCCTCCCCCTTTTGTCCCTTCTAATTTTTTTCTTTCTTGTAAACCTCCCCAACCTCTCTGATTTGGGGGGGGGGGGTCTCTCTGCTGTTCTTTTATTTTTCCTCAAATGCTCGTATTTCACCCAGGATTTCCCTTCCTAAATTTAATTTGCGCCTGGCTCCCTCCCCCCACCCTTTGCAAACAAAATCCCGGAGATGGGGAGGGGTTCGAGAATCGAAGCGTGTATGTTGCTGGGAGACAGGTATTTTTCTGTATACACATATATATGTAAAAATTCCATGCACTTTTTTTCACAAAACTCTCGTGTTTAATTAAAAAAGGAAGAAAAGTTTGAAAGGTCTGAATCCTGCGGGCAATAAAGTGCCTTTGGTAGGGGTAGGTGAAGGAGCTGTGAAAGGTGAAATTTCACGGTGGAGGGGTGAGGGAAAGAATTTATTCGATTTACACGGAGGGGGCGGTAAAAGGCTGGGAGAAGTAAGTTGTTAGGGGTGTGTAAGCGGGGGCGGGGAGGGATTTGTTTGGAAAACCCTTTTCTCCCCTTCTTCTGTAGCAGCCCGTGTTGCATTGCAGCAGCTGCTTTTCCTCTTTCCTCTGTAATCAATAAAAGAGAAACTCAATTATTTTTTCAGCTCCAAAAGAATTTGAATGTACCGTCGTAAAATATTTTTTAATTGATAAACCATGAAACATATGGTGTGATTATTTGTCGTTTCTCCAATTGTGTAGGAGAATAAACCGTGATGTGGTGTGTCATTCATTGGAGATTCTTTTTTTCAGCCTTTCCTAAGCCTGTTTTGTGTCCATCACCTTCTCTTTTCGGATTGGTGCAAGACTTCGTGAGAAATGGGACTTGGTAGACTGAAGGCTGATCCATTCTGCGTTATCATGCTTAAAGGCCTTTTTAGGTTAAACAATTGTGGATAAAGTAAATTACTCCATTTCTCTCTGCTGGAAGAGATAGTCTTACACTTCATTTGGATTTGATTCTCCTTTGTGTTAAAGATTAATGGTCAACTGTTGTTGAGACTTTTATAATGAAATATAATGAGATTTGAATGATATAATCTACAAATTCCTTAGCTTTGGCAAAAAAATGTCATGTCATTGAAATTTTTTCTCAATTTAAGTAGTTTCCATTTGAAACTTTAGTTTCCATGTTTTCTATCAGGGTTGAACGTGTTCCCATTGAGCTTTTTTATATATATTTTATAGCTGTGAAATTGAATTTTTTTCTCCGATTCTAAGTTATAGACCTTTATGATGGTCTTAAAGAATGTGTTTAATGCTGTGTCTCTAAGTGACTGATCCCTTTTTCTCTCTGTGATTTCACACAAGTTATTTCCAAATGTAATGTTATCAGTTTAAAAAGTAGTTAATGACATGCAGACCAGAAAACACAATCTTTGTAAAATATGGCTTAAAAAACTTCAGTCATATTTTTAAGCATTTTGTTTTTAGTCAAGTTACTGATATCCTTGAAAACTCAGCAGCTATAATATGCACATACTGTTATATTTTGTAATATTATGTATTATTGATTTGTGTTTTAGAGATTTAATGCTATAGGGATCTTGAGGACCAGAAGTTACCAGTTTTTTTTCCAATTTTGGTAAATTTATCATAACTTTGAGATAAGAGAATAGTAAAAGTGGGTTATTTTAAAATAAAAACGGTTGTAAAGTTGTCTAATTCGTGTGTTGTGACTTTCCCTCAAAGTTAAGATTTTGGGTATTTAGTAAAGTTTAATCACTATCATGTATAGTTGTTGCTCTGTCACAGGTAAATTATATCTTCACTTAAAAGTTCCTTTTCTAATAAAAAGTAGCTTCCAGTTTTTGCTGGTCTTTCATCCAGGATTTAAGCTCTAGGTCTTTTACCTTTCACTTTGAAGCTTAAGGTCTTTCACCTAGTTTTTAAACTCTTTTCTCACCCTGTTCCTTAAGTGTAGAGAGAGAGAAATCATGCTGATGTTTTCCAGTAGTATAAACAGAACATGGTACCCAGGTTTGAAAAGATTGGTTAACTAGTCTACAGTAATTCTTTGTAGGCTAATTTTGAATAATTTAAGAGCAGAAAAAAGGATCAGCTTTTCACTTTGGAAGGAATTGGATTATTTGGTAGGTGATTTGTGCAACTCAGGTAGTGTGCACATTTGCTTAGACACCTAAAAATAAGATTGTCTGATATGGGGTAAAAGGTTTTTGTGCCAGTAGCAAAAGGCTTTGAGATGTTTTGGTGCTTTAAAAAAGGGCTTTATAGGTTATATTAGTATTTCCTTAGTCTCGATGATGCTTTCAAGTATTGTTGGACATAAATGTTAGACTTCTAAGTCAAGTCTTTTTAGTTATATTAAGGAATAGTCCTGATGTTTCAGAGGCCATCCAGAAATAGGAATGCCTGGGCAGGAATTTCCAATTAAGTTGGTCAGAATTCTAACATAAGAGGATGTGATGAACATGTTATGGTGTAAGTATTTCTGCTATTTTTTAGATGACTTTAATTTTTGGAATACCCTACTTGCTGTAATATAATGTGATCCTACACCAGAGGGAACCGAATAATACTTAATGTTCCTGAAACAGCTATAGGCACTCTACACATGTAAATGCAGTAGATAGCTTTACTTGTTAATAATTTGCTTAAACACGAGGATTTAAAAAAAGATAAAGTGTGTTACTTATACAGGACAGTAGAAGGGTTGAGACCAGAAAAACTAGCACTTGTAGAGTCGTATCCAATTATGTGATTGTGTTCTTATTTTTCATTTATGTAATGTTTTGACATTATAAGATGCTTTGTGATTGAGATAAATATATAAATGTATAAAACATTGTATGTCTTTTAAATGATTGTGTTTTTAAAATTAGTTGATCAGTTACTCATTTTTTTTTTTACATATTAAGAGGAGCTTTTCTTTTCTCACTGTGTGCCCTAGGTAGAGTGCAATGGCATCACAGCTCACAGCAACCTCAAATTTTTGGGGTTAAGCAATTCTTTTGCCTCAGCCTCTCAAGTAGCTGGGACTAAAGGCGCCTGCCGCAACACCCGGCAATATTTTTGTTGCAGTTGTCATTGTTCAGCAGGCCCTGAGCCCGGTTCGAGCCCGCCAGCTCTGTTGTATATGGCTGGCGCCCTAGCTGCTGAGCTACAGGCACCGAGCCAAAAGAGGAGCTTTCCCGATCTAAAATAGTTGCATATGGTCTAGTGGCTAAGAAAAGCTCTGAAGATTTTGGATTGATATTCTTGGGTCCATATTAAATATTAAATAGTACAGTACAGGCTTCCATAGCTACTTTTTGACTTTCTCATGTGAAGAGTAATAATAGGGTTGTGAGGATTTATTTAAGCCATTTACTAGCTGGGTGACCTTGAGCTAATCATGTTATTTCACTGCTGTATTTTTAAAAAATATGTAAAAGTTGGGTTAATTATTGATTAGATAGCGAGGATGAAATGACAATAGAAGAGAAAATGTTTTGTATACATGTAAGCATTAAACAATTTTGCTACTCTTATTTTGAGGCCTGGTTCTACTTTATTTAGATTAGGTGGGTAAAACTTTTGGACTGTTTGCACCTTTGACCTTATTTATTAGTTCAAGGATGTCAAATAGGTTATATTTTACTTATTTTATTGGTAAGAAAGCTGTTTCTATATATGTATTTAGGATGTTTGGAGCATCTTCATTTATGGTAATGTTCTATTTTTACATACATTTTAGAGTGTAAGTACTATCAAGGGTCATAAGACCCAGGTTTTACATGCTGATATTAATTTAGCAAACTGGTTAAAAAAAAAAATAAGGAGATAATCTTAATATTCCACAGGATTGTTGTGTCAAGTGAGATATCAATGAAGGGATAGAAATAGTAGTCTCTTTGTTCTTGTGTGTCTTCATTTATATTGGTAAGCTGTTGGATGTGTGACTTTTCCCACAAAGGTTTATTTTAGAAGCAAGAGCTAAATCTTCATTTTTTTGAATACCATTATTGTATTGTAGGTATTTATTAGGTGAGTAAATATTGAATAAGAGTGAATTAATAGAGAAAATTTATTAAGTTTTATGGTTTTGGAAGCCTTTTTAGTCCTGTTGGAATAAGCAGAATAACTAAGTACGCACTATTTGGCTGTATAGAAGAAGTTACATATTGGATTGGAGGTTTTGGTAATTTATCTTACAGCTTTAAAACAGGAGTGGTTGCATAACTTGTAAAAACACCCAGTCTTTATCATGAGTGTAAAAACAATTTGGAAAAATGTGATTTTGATTTTTATGCATTTGTGAGTGAGTGAAGGGATACTTAAACCCTTTCTGTGCTGACTTAAAGTTGTCTTTTTGTCTTTCCTCCTCCTCCCTTGAAATTGATGGATGGAACTAAGCAGAAATAAAGGTTAAAGTGAGAATCAGAGGTGAGGCTGTCCCTCAGTGGCTACTTCTCCAAATAAGGTTTTATAAAGTTTTCTGGACTAAAAACGGTAAGGGGATTCCTTGACAGATCTTCTGGAAAGGAGTCCCCAACTTAGGTACATCCACCCCCCAATTCCTGTGTGTTCCAGGGTCCTCTGCATGTTTTTTGCCTTTGCACTTATTATACTGTTTTACAATTATCTGGATCGTTGGTTTCTCTTGACTGTAAGTTCCCTTGAGGACAGGGACTGTATTTTTTATATTCACAGTACTTGCAAAATACTCTGCAAATAGTGGGTACTCATTTAAAGTTTTGACTTTGTGATGTTCTTTTATAGAATCTACTCACTAACAATAACAATTACCATTTTTGGAGTACCTGTAATGTTCTTGAAGTTGTAAAGAGTAATACAGTATTTAGTACACACTTGTTTATTTTTTTTTATTTATTTATTTTTTTGAGA